GGGTTGCCTCACTCAGTATGGATTTTTCTAGATCCATCCATTTGCCTGCAAATTTAAAGATATCATTATTTTTTATCACTAAGTAGTACACCACTGTGTAACTGTACCACATTTTCTTTATCTATTCTTCGGTTGAGGGGCATCTAGGCTGTTTCCATATTCTGGCTATTATGCTGCTATGAACATAGTTGAGCATATGTACTTTAGGTATGATTGAGGTGTCTTTGCGAATATGCCCAAAAATGGTATTGCTGGGTCTTGAGGCAGATTGTTTCCTAACTGTCTGAGAAATCACCATACTGATTTCCAAAGTGGCTGTATCAGTTTGCATTCCACCAGTAATGGAGAAGTGTTCCCTTTACCATACATCTTCTCCAGCATAAGCTGTCATCAGTGTTTTTGATCTTGGCCATTCTGACAGGTATAAGATGGACTCTCAGAGTTGATTTGATTTGCATTATTGTGATGGCTAAGGATGTTGAACATTTCCTTAAGTGTCTTCCAGCCATTTTAGATTCCTCTGTTCAGAGTTCTCTGTTTAGGTCTATACCCCATTTCTTATTGGATTACTTGGTACTTTGATGTATAGTTTTTTGAGGTCTTTGTTTATTTTGGAAATCAGTCCTCTGTCATATCTGGGTTTGGGGAAGATCTTTTTCCATTCGGTAGGCTGTCGTTTTTTCTTGTTGATAATTTCCTTTGTTTTACAGAAGCTTCTTGGTTTCAGGAGGTCCCATTTATTAACTGTTGTTCTCAGCGTATGTGCTACCAGGGTTGAAATTAGGAAGTGGCCTTCTGTGTCAATGTATTCAAGCATAATTTTCATGTTCTCTACTATGAGGTTCGATGGGGTTGGTTTTATGTTGAAGTCTTTGATCCACTTGGACTTGAGTTTTGTGCATGGTGATATATATGAAACTATTTTCATTATTATACATGTCATGTTGATATTCAGTATCATTTGTTCAATATAATTTCTTTTTTCCTTTTATATTTTTTACTTTATTGTAAAAAAAATCGGTGTTTGTACATGTGTGAATTGTTATCTGGGTCTTCAATTTGGTTCCATTGGTTCGCCTGTCTGTTTTTATGCCAATACCAGGCTGTTTTAATTACTGTGACTCTATAGAAGAGTTTGAGGTCAGAGATGGTGATACCTCCAGAAGTTCCTGTATTGTACAGGATTACTTTGGCTATCCTGGGTTTTTTGTTTTTCCATGTAAGTATTGTTCTTTTGAGGTCTGTGAAGAATTTTGCTGGGATTTTGTTTGGCAATGCTTGAATATGTAGATTGCTTTTGGTAAGACTGCTATTTTTTTTTACCATATTCTGCTACCTACCCAAGAGCATGGGGGAATCTTTCCATTTTCTGGTGTCTTCTTCAATTTTGTTCTTCAAATTCTTAAAGTTCTTGTCATACAAGACTACCACTTGTTTGATAAAGTTACTCCAAGATATTTTATGCTATTTGTAGCTACTGGGAAGGGTGATGTTTCTCTAATTTCTTTCTCAGACTGTTTATCATCTGTATAAAGTAGGGCTAATGATTTTTTAAAATTGTATATTGTGCCCTTCTACATTACTGAAGGTGTTTATGAGTTGTAGTATTTCCCTGGTAGAATTTTTGTGGTCACTTTTGTATACTGTCATATCATCAGCAAATAGTGAGAATTTGACTTCTTTTCCAATTTGTATCCTCTTGATCTCCTTTTTTTTGTCTTATTGCTCCAAGTTCTATATTGAATAGATATAGAGAGAATTGGCCACCTTGTCTTGTACCTGATTTCAGTGGGATCGCATTGATTTTCTCTCCATATAGTTTGATACTAGCATGTAACATAGTCCCTGTCCTTACTTCATCCTTGAACCACTTACACCTTACATAAACAATTTTACAGCCCAAGGTGTCTACTCTGTCTGCACCCTTTAAGGCCTTTACCATCCCCCTCTCTTGGGTTCATTATAGTTTCCTGACATATTGAAACTGCCCAAATAAATCTCACATGGTCCTAATTACTAGATGAAAATCTACAGACAATTAATGTCTCCTGAGAAACAGAGACTCAGCATTCTCCAGAGATGAGTCCCTCTTAAGTTATCAGATGCCAAGTAGTCAGCATTAAATACATAAGAACAACATTAAATAGACTCAGCAGAATATGTGTGTGCATGTATGTATCTGTATATATAAACATATACATATATGTTTTTATGTATGTATTATGTATGAATGAGCAATCGTTAGAGAAGAAAAGAATTTGAGAGGAAAGCGGGGGATACTAGAGGAGGTAGAGTGGAGACTAAGAAAGGTGAGAATGATGTAAATATGGTATAGACATAGAAAATTCTCAAAATTTAGCTTAAAAGAAACTTTAAAATAACAAATTAAGCATACTAGTCTATATGGATCACATACATAATATGTGATTATGTCATATGATCCACCTATGAAAGAAAAATATGACATTTCTCTCTCTGGGCATGATTACCTCACTAAGTAGGATATTTTCTATCCATTTTCTGTGGATTTTTATTGACCTTTTCTTCTTTCTATATGCATTACATGCATACATCTCTGTGTGCCTCATCATATGTGTTGGGGCAAACATATATGGAGGTTATACTCTACGTGCTTGTGCCCACCCTAAATTGATATCTGGAATCCTCTTCAGTTGCTTTCACATATTAATTATAACAGAGGCTCTCCTCCATGCCCAACACTTGTCAATGAAGCAAGTTTAGCTAGACATCATTTTCTGTCGATCCCTTGACCCAACTTTCTGAACCTGGAATAATAGGGCTCACAATGCAAGTACAACGTGTACTGGGGTTCTGGGGTCCCAAATTCTAGTTCGCATGCTTTGTCTTCAACCTTGGTGCCCAAGATGATTTTAAAGTGTGACAAAACTGAAGAGGACTTAGATGTGTGCAGAGTAACAGACACGTCCCAGCTGGGAGATCTTGGATAGCATGGCCTAGGAAGAACTGAGCCTTCCCTTTGCACCTGAGGCAAACATGGCCTGAGCCAGGAAGACTTTGGCCACAGATCTTAGTGGGCAGCCTCCTGCACTCAGGAGATATTAGACAATGGGAGCAGATCTATAGATCCTGGTCTCAGAGGCAAGTTGGCCCCTGAAGCCAGTCTCTCAAGGGCAAATTGTGTGAACTGATGCTGCACTCTGTGTGGTCACCAGATGTTCGGTAGTACCTTGGCTAAGGCAGGAAAGGAAGCTGAACTTTTAAAAACATATAGTTGCCGAAGGATGAACTTGGATTGTGGTCCATGGGCACATTCCTGTCTGTCCAAGCCCAACCAGAGCACTCCGTGTCTGCAGGGACTTGCTAACTCTTCCAGACAGTTAATTCACAGCCTCTGTAGTCACAGTCGTCTGTGAAAAGGCAACTCCAGCAACCGTAGCCATAGTGACAGTGACAGCAATAGCAGCAACAATTGCAGGTGTTCGCCCACTGTCAGTAAAGGATGATCTCCTGATGTTCTGTTGTTTTTTTTTTTTTGAAAGTAATTTTATTAAATTATAAAAGTTTCCATTTCCGCCCCTCCTCCCACCACCCTCCCACTCCCCCCACTCCCTCTCCTCCTCCCTCTCCATCCCTAAGAGCAGTCAGGGTTTCCTGCCCTGTGGGAAGTTCAAGTTCCTCCCCCCTCCCTCCAGGTCCAGGAAGGTGAGTATCCAGACAGACTGGATCCGCAAAATCCAGTATATGCAGAGGACCTTCATCTGGCGATGGATGGAGATAGAGACCCACATCGGAACACTGGACTTAACTCCCTAGGTCCAAACAAGAAGCAGAAGGAAAGAGAATGTGAGCAAAGAAGGCAAGACCAGAGAGAACCTTCATCCAACGATGGATGGCGATACAGATGGAGACTCACATTGGAGCACCGGACTGAGCCCCCCAAGGTCCAAATGAAGAGCAGAAGGTTGAAGAAAATGAAAAAGGAAATAAGGACCGCGAGGGATGCGATCATCCACTGATACAAGGGAACGGATCTAATGAGAGTTTACCAAGGCCAGTTGGACTGGGACTGAATGAGGATGCGATCCTGATGTTCTTGAGACACCAGCACCCACAGAGGAATCACAGCAGGCACTCGAATGATCAAAGCTCGATCAGAACTGCCCCAGCAATTACTCAGCTTGCAGATCCTGTAAGAACAATTAAGAATATCGCCCCCTCCCCCAAAGTGCCACTCCACAATACACAGAAAAATGTAGGAGGAACGCAAGCAGAGGATCAAATAGTCATATTGCGTCCAGCAGTATAACAAATCAGACTCTTGAGTGATACATTCTTCCCACATAACTGTCGGGTGGAGATTAAAATTTCCATCAGCATCCCAACACCGAGGAGCAGGTTTGGGACCATAGGTATTATGCAATACTAACTGGCATTAAAAGTCGGGGGTTTCTCAGCAGACTCCCCATCACTCATAATTCTGTTGTTACCAGAGTCATCACCTGAAGCAGAAGGAGCACTGTGGTCTTCATCCTGGGTCACTGGCCTTATGTACCGTTCTGGCAAACAAATTGGTTTGTCAACTCCTGGAGGAAAAACACATACAGCCCCCCTCACCTTTGACAACAAGGGGGTTGGTTCCATCCATCTTTCTGTTTGCAAATCATTCAAAAGAACCCATCCTAGGCTCTGAGCCCTAACTTGTGTATGATGCTCCATAGGCGAGTGCCCTTCAACATCCACAGTCAAAAAATTTTAAAAAAGAGAATGGTGGATAATTGAGTAGCTGGAGAGAATATGAACTGTCTCTCCACTTTTAATTTTTTGAAAATATTGCTTGAGGGTCTGATTGGCTCCTTCTATGATTACTTGACCTATTGGGTTATATGGGATGCCTGTTTTATGGGAAATTTCATAGAATGAACAAAAGGATAAAATTTTTTTGCTGATATATGCTGGGCCATTATCTGGCTTAATAACCTCATGTTTGCCCATATAGGCAAAAGCAGATAGGCAGTGTGCAATGGCATCTTTTGCTCATTCTCCTGAATGCAAAGATGCAAAAATTACTCCTGAAAAGGTGTCTACTGATTCATGGACAAATTTAAGTTTCCCTGTGGCAGGCAGGTGTGTAACGTCCCTCTGCCATAACTGATTTGGTTGTAACCCTCGTGGGTTAACTCCTAAATTGGGGCTGCTTAGGAAAGGAGCACACTGAGGACAAGAAGATGTAATGGCTTGTGCTACTTCACGCGTGCATCGAGTATGATGCCGAAGGTAGCCCGCATTAAGGTGAAATTTATCGTGTATTTCTTGGGCGCGGTTAGAGGTAAAGCAAACGTGTATATTTATCAGCTACATCATTACTTGCTGACAATGGCCCAGGCAGCCGAGTATGACTGCGGATATGTCTGACAAACAAAGGCTCAGTCCACTGCCAAATCAAATGCTGAACACAGCTGAGCAAATGATGGACCTTAGAGGTAGGTGTTATATATGCAGATGTCTCCAATGGCTTAAAATGTGTGCATATACACACTATCAGTATACAAATTTACAGGTTCCCCAGGGAAGAGTTGGAGTGTAATGAGGCAGGCTGTTACCTCTGCAGCTTGGGCTGATGCATCCCCCACAGGACTCTTCCATACTTTCCCTCCAGAGACCACTACTGCATTACCTTTAGGGGAAGCATCTGTAAAGACAGCACGAGCTGAGGGTATGGGAGATCTTCTGATCACTCGGGGGAATATAATGGGATGATTTTTGAACAGGACCATTAATGGATGCTGAGGATAATGAGAATCAAAACTTCCGGAAAAGGAGGTGAGAAAAAGAGTCCAGTCATCATGGTACTGCTGTAATTGTACTAGTTGGTCTTCAGTATAAGGAGTTATAATCTTGTCAGGGTACTTTCCCAAAAGTCTGGGCAACAACCTTCTTAGCTTTCTAAAGTAATTGTAATACAGCTTCATAGTATGGGGTGACTACCCTTGCTGGAGAGGCAGGCATGTGTACCCATCAAATAGGTCCAACCTGCCAAAAGACTCCCATAGCGGCAAAATTGGAAGCAAGAACTACAAAATTTAATGATTGATCATAATTAATCTGCTGGAGATGGACCCTGTCAATGTTGTCCAGAAGAAGCCTTAAGGCCTGCCTGGCCGCAGGCGTCAATATTCGGGGAGAGGTTGGGTCAGGATCTCCCAAGAGCATATCATACAATGGACTTAAGTCACCTGTTTTGATTGCTAGGGAGGGGTGCATCCATTGTACATCTCCCAGTAACTGCTGCCAATCATGTAAGGTTTTAAGATGAGAGGTGTCAATAGTTAATTTTTTTTTTGTTTAATTCCATCCATGGACAATTGGTACCCAAGGTAGGAATATGGGAATTGCATTTGGACCTTCTCAGGAGCTATGATCAGCCCCTCCTTCTCTAAATCCTGTTGCATTTGAGTATAGAACTTTTGACAGCTGATCCCCCGCGGCCTTTTTTGGCAGGGCTTTCCAAGCTATGGTAGCTGTGGTCGCCATCTGGAGATATAGGGCAGGATCGAGCACAATTTGATTGGCCAAGTCAGCATAAGCTCCTGCTCCAGTTAGCATGTCTAGATCGCACTGTGCCTGTCCCGCTTGTGCATTTAACCTAGCCGTTTGTATGCAATTTTCTTGATATTCTCCCTTCCACAATAAGTAATCTCCTCCCGATAGTACCACATGGCATAGTTGCTGCCAATCACTAGGTGTAAGATTCAATGTCCCAAAAGACTCTACCATGGCAAGTGTAAATGGGGCCTGAGAGCTGTATACCACCACGGCCTCTTTCAATTGCTTCATCTCCTTAAAGCTCAAGGCCACATGTTGTCTCAGCATCTGTCCTGGATTATTAGGATCAGGTACCTCTATAACCGGGGCAACTGTGTGCCGTGACTGAAAACAGACACCTCTTCTTCTTCCAGAGCCCTCTTTGGCCTCCCTGTCATCTGTCAGCCCCCAACAGGACTCCCTCCTTCCCCAATCAGCATTAAAAGCAAGTGGGACTGATGGCACACATAAGGAATCCTTAGCCTTACAGCGTTTCAGCCTTTTCTGAAGTACCTTAATTTCCTGTGTTAGCTGTGCTTCCTCATCAGATAAACTATTCTCTGCACTAGAGCTGAGGCTGTCTTTCCCATTTTCTGACTCAGAGATTATTGCTATCTGATTTTGCACCCGAAAGGAGGTAGACTTTGGTGCTAGCCTTAGTCCTATGCCAGATTCCAAAGTTCCCCCTTGTATCTCTGACTTTTCCTTTGGGTCCCTATGCGACTCTGCCAATCCTATGGACCAGCGAGTCTCCTCCTCCTGTATTTCTTCAAGTATCTCTTTAGCAGCAACAACCTCAGGTCTCAATTTCACTTTATCAGTAAGTAAGGCATCGTGAACCAGGAGCCACAGCGAAAAGGTAGATATAGGGACGCTATTGGCATCCTCCTTTTGCAGCTGTTTCTGTAAATCTGTTATTACCTGTTTCCAATAGGAGATGTTCAAACCTCCACCTATCAAAAACCATGGGCTTGCTGCAGCTATATCCTTAAGAAAATCCTCTATAGTTCTCCCTTTGACAACAGTTCCTTGTTTCTCTCACAATTTAACTATCTGATATATCAGGTCTCTCTTACTGCTTGTGGATCCCATTTTACCCCAATCCGTCCTTACTGGCCTAGGATGACCCTGTCCACTACCCCTTCTTTCTCAGATCTCGGTGGGAACCTCCACTTTGCTGAGCCAGCATGGCAACAGTCATTCCTCTGAGCAAGGGACGTCGGGATTAACATGCAACACAACTTCAGGTTCTGCAGACAAGCCTTTATTCCACTTTCTCACACAGTATATATAGTCCTCAGCAGGGGAGGCTAAGACAGCAAAAGCAGGAAGCTCATCACCATAACTCAATGGCTTAGGGGTAAACATCCTTAGAAACATTGCTGAAAAAAAAACAGGTTGTTCCTGTTTTTGTTCCTGTTTTCAACCAAGTGCAAGAGTGCAAAACAGATCAAGTGGGGGGTGCAAAGGCCTGTCCTCTAGAGACCCAACAAATAAACACCTCTAATGTATTCGTTTATGCTCCATCTCTCTCTCCCTTATTTAGGAGTCATTTCAGAAATACATCAGAGTGAAGGAAGAGAAAATCTTTACCCCACACAGACCTGGAAAGCAAATGATTTACTGAAAAATTTCACACAGCTACTACTTCTACAAAAACCATGCCCAAGAGGCAGGGAGACATTTTCCTGGGAAGCATGGCATAAATATAAAGGAGAGGAGAGAGGACATTTGATTGAGATCCAAGACTTATTTTGTCCAAGCCCAGATACCCAGAAAGAGCCTCAACTTGTTGTATTAGAGGGAGCTGCTGGGACTGGGAAGTCAACACTGGCCAGGCAGGTGAGGAGAGCATGGGAGGACGGCCAGCTCTACAGGGATCGCTTCCAGCATGTCTTCTACTTCAGCTGCAGAGAGCTGGCCCAGTGCAAGCAACTGAGTCTGGCTGAACTCATAGCAAAAGACCAGACTCTGCCTGCAGCTCCCATCAGGGAGATTCTGTCTCACCATGAGAAGCTGCTCTTCATCCTGGATGGCATAGATGAGCCTGAATGGGTCTTGGAAGATAAAAATCCAAATTTCTGCCTGCACTGGAGCCAGCCACAATCTGTGAACACACTGCTGGGCAGTTTGCTTGGGAAATCTGTCCTGCCTCAGGCTTCCTTGCTGCTCACAGCTCGAACCACAGTTCTGAAGAAGCTCATTCCTTCCTTGGGGCAGCCACGTTGGGTGGAGGTCCTGGGCTTCTCTAAGTCTGAACGGAAGAAATACATCTACAAATATTTCACAGAGGAAAGAGAAGCAATGGCAGCTTTTAACTTGGTTAAATCAAACCCAGTGCTCTCAACACTGTGCGGCGTGCTGTGGGTGTCCTGGCTGGTCTGCACCTGCCTGAAGCAGCAGATGGATCAGGGAGAAGACCTCTCACTGACTTCACGGACCACCACAGAACTCTACCTGAAATACCTTTCCCAGGCTATCTCAGGTCGTGCCCTGGGGTACCAGCTCAGAGCACTCTGCTCACTGGCTGCTGAGGGAATCTGCCAAAGAAGGACCCTGTTCAGTGAGAAAAATTTTCAGATCCAAGGATTGGATGATGAAGTCATTGCCACTTTCCTAAAGATTGGTATCCTTCAAAAGCATCCTGAATCTTTGAGTTACAGCTTTGCCAACTTGTATCTCCAGGAGTTCTTTGCAGCAATGTCCTATGTCTTGGTTAATAATGTCCTAAGATATGATTATGCATATATCTACAAAAGTGTGGAAACACTGAAGGAAGTCTATGGAAGATGTGATCTGTTTGAGGCACCCATTTTGTGCTTCCTATTTGGTCTTTCAAGTATAACAGGAATAAGAGAAATGCAGGATATCTTTGCCTGCAGTTTGCTTCAGGAGAGAGGGTTGTACCTACAACAGCACATCCTAAAGGAAACCCAATACCATCAATCAAATGTTCTGAGTTTACTCCATTGTCTGTATGAAACTCAGGATGGGGACCTCCTGACAGATGTAAAGCACATTTTTCAGGGAACAATGGCTCATGCCTCAGTGGATATGCTACACCCAGTGTTCCAGACAAACATTAACCACCTGGTGGTCCAGACAGATGTGGAACTCATGGTGGTTATTTTCTGCATTAAGTTCTGTCACCATGTGAAAAGGCTTCAGCTGAACGCTTGTGGACAACAGGGACACACGCCGGCGGCCCCCAGTATGGTTCTGTGAGTATCCAGACACAGCCTTCTCTCCAGCTTCCTTGTGGATTGCATGAGCACACATGTTCTGAACACCAGCAGCACTCTTAATTGGTTTTAGGTCATCAGAATACAGGACACCAGTGAGATCTAACTGTTGAATCTGACCAACTTTCTCCATTTGCCTCTGTGTGCTTAACTATGCAATTGAGGTATGAGCTTGGTAAGGACCACCCACCTTCTTTGTTTCAAATCCTCTTTGCCCTTCACAAATGATCCACAGTTACTGGTCCTCTCACTTGTTATGCTTTCTCTCTGAGAGAAACCTCATCCAACTCCTGCAGGCACCATCTTCCTTCCCCATGACTAGTAGCTTGGACCTGAAATCTTCCTGCCAAGATTCCTTCCTTGTATGTGTCAATGAAGGCAACATTGACCTGCCCCTCATTTGGCTTGAAGGCTTCCTAACTTCTACCAATCCCAGCAGCAATGTAGACCTTGTTTTCCAGGGTCCCCTATCACTGTGCAGAAGTGGTGACTCAGTATCAGGATGTGTCTCTCTTCTCTGTAGATGATTCATTAAGCACTGATTTTATACCAGGCCTTGTTAATTAATGCAAGAGTAGAAGTATAGTTTCTGCCTGAGTACTTCAAAACTGGGGGAGAAAACAATCAACTACTCTAATTACATAGGAGGTTGTGACTGTTGAAATAATCAGAAACAAGAGTTATCTAGAGTTGAGGACTTTGACACCAATCTGAACAACACACCAAGAGCCCATGTAAAAAATAAATAACTTAAAAGTAGTGGAGCAAAGGTTAGAGAACAGGAAGAGGATGAGTGGAGGAGGGAAAACTGGTCAAAGAAAACAAATGTAATTGTTTTGTTACATTGTTGTAACAAATTGTATCAATGAGTCTCATATTTATAGGATAGAATAATAAAAACATACTTGCTATAGAAGAGTGAGGATTTATCAATTATAAAAACAACAGAAAATTGGTATCCTACAGTATTCCATTTCTACGAGAGGACAGCATTAAATATTGGGTTAACTGAGCTTGAGTGTGCACATATCATCCCAAACTCTGAAGTAGACACAAGAAGTTCAGAAGTCCCAGTCCAGCCTAGGCTACATAGTGTGATGCTGTCTCAAAATATCATTGACTAGGGATGCTACTCATTTGGTAGAGAGATTACCTGGTGTGTTGATGGTTCTCTGTTGCTGTAATAAAGCACCATGGCCAAGACAGCTTATAGAAGAGTTTATATGGGATTATTGTTCAGAGGGATCAGTGTCCATCATGGCAGAAGGAAATGATGGTGATTGGAGCACCAGCTGAGAGCTCCTGTCTTGAACCACAAACAGGAAACAAAAAGAGTGGAGTGGAAGTGGCTCGAACCCTTGAAATCTTAAACCCAATCCCCAGTGATGTATTTCCTCCCACAAAACCACATCTCCTAAGCCTCCTCAAAGAGAACTACCAGTTAAGTTTCAAGCATTCAAATGTGCATGATTAGGTAACACCTCATTCAAAATACCTCATCTAATAAGCCCATGACCCTAGGTTTGATCCACAGCATGGAGGAAGAAATGTGACACCACCTTTAATCTTTTCTGTATATATATTTTTTTCCTATGGGATTCCTGAGCCACACAATTTCTGTTGTCTTATATTCACATTTATTTTCTTAATGAATCAAGACTATCTTCTCTGGTACTGAAACAGAAAACCGATAGGGCCAGAGAAACAAAAAACTCTAACCTATTTTCAGGGACAGTGGCCTTCCAAGCCTTGGGACAATCCCATAGGATAAGAAGAGGCTTTGGCTGTTAGTGAGAAAGTAAAATTGAGGGGGAAAAGGCAGACCAGGCTGGAAGACAAGTAGGAAGCCATTGCACATAAGGAAAATGGGTGGACTTTGGTTAAAGTCAAGGAATAAAAGATGGCAGCATGAGTGTTTTGGTTAGGGTTCCTATTGGTATAGAGACATCATGAGAAGAAAACTTTTGATTGTGGGGCCTTGCTTTCAGTTTAGAGGTTCAGCCCATTATCATCACGGTGGGATAAGGCAGTTTACTGGTAGATACAGTGCTGGAGATGTAGCTGCTACATGTTAATAAGCAGGCAGCTGGAAGTAGACTTTTTCACTGGGTGTGGCTTGAGCATATATGTGACCTCAAATCCTGCCTCCACAGCGATACACATCCTCTAGCAAGACCATACCTCCTCCAGCAAGGCCACACCTTCTAAATTGAAACTCTCTTTAGGGGCCATTTTCTTTCAAACTACCATAGTGAGCAACTTCTGTGTGTGTGTCATAATGATGCCTCTTGTTTTGTGATTGCACATTCTGAAGTTCCACTCTCAGTGTATAGACTAAACCATCCTTTGGCGGCTGTAAGACTGGTTCTACCATTAAGAGAGTCTGATATTCTTGCAAAGGGTGTGGATCCATTCCCAGCACCCACATCAGGTAGCTCACAACCACTGTTACTTACATTTCTAGAGGATCCAATGCCCTTCTTCAAGTCTCTGCAGGTTTTCTGCATGCATAGGGTGCACACAGACAAGCAGTCATATGAACATACACTGTCTTAGGGCTTGTGTTGCTATAAGACACCATGACCATGGCAACTCTTTTTTATTTTATTTTACTTTATTATACTTTATTTTTATTTTTTTTAAAAAAAGAAAAAAACTATCTTTTTATCCTTTATCTTTTATCCTTTTACATACCAATCCTAGTTCCCTCTCCCTCCCCTCCTTCAATCCCCTTCACTTTTTCCCCCACCCCACCCCCACATCCATTCCTCAGAGAGAATAAGGCACACTATTAAGGGAAAGTTCAATGCCCTCCCTACTATATCTAAGGTGAGCAAGGTATCCATCTGAAAAGAATAGGTTTCTTAAAAGCCAGTGCAAGCAGTAGGGACAAGTCCTGGTGTCACTACCAGTGGCCCCACAGTCTGCAACCAACCAAACAACAGTCACCCACATTCAGAGGGAGTAGTTTGGACCTATGCCAGTTCCTTCCTTGTCCAACTGGAGTTGCTGAGCTCCCATTAGCTCAGGTAAACTGTTTTGGTGGGTATCCTCATCATGGTCTTGAACTCTTTGATCATATTCTCACTCCTCCCACTCTTCAAGTAGACTTTGAAGCTCAATACAGTGCTCTGCTGTGTGTCTCTTCCTCTGTTTCCATCAGTTGCTGGATGAAGGTTCTATGGTGACATTTAAGATATTTGTTGTAAGGAGCCCATTTTTTTCATTTCTTGGCTGCCCAGACTTCCTATAATCACACAGAAACAATATTATTTAAAACACTCATTGCAAATAACTCTAGCTTCTTATTGGCTCACCAATTTCTATCAATCTGTGTATCACCACATGGCTGTTGCTTACTGGCAAAGTTTCGACATGTCTATTTCTGGCGGAGCCTCCATGGCTTCACTCTGACTCTGCCTTCTTTCTCCCAGCATTCAGTCTAGTTTTCCCACATCAGATATTCATCAATCAGACTATACAGGGCAAGACCAGTTCGGGCACCCTATCCTCTATTGCTTAGAGTCTTAGCTGGGGTCAGCCTTGTGGATTCCTGAAAATTTTTCTAGTGCCAAATTTCTTGTTAGTAGCATAATGTCTCCTGCAATCAAAATATCTCTTTCCTTGCTCTCATCTCTGTACTTCCTACATCTCGACTATTCCATTCCCTCAAGTTCTCCTCCTCCCTCCCCTTCTCCCATCCTCTTCCCTTTCCTTCCTCTTTTCTCTCCCTATCCCTATGCTCCCAATTTTTTTTTGGGGGGGGGAGAGATCTTGTCTATTTCCCATTTCCAGATGAATCTATATATGTTTTTCTTAGGGTTAACCTTTTACTTATCTTCTCTAGGATCATGAACTACAGGCTTAATATCCTTTACTTTACAGCTAATATTCACTTATGAGTGAGTACTGAACATGGTCACCTTTCTGGATCTGGGTTATCTCACTCAGGATGTTTTTTTCTAGTTCCGTCCATTTGCATGCAAATTTCAAAAGGTCCTTGTTTTTTATGTCTGAGTAGCACTCCATGATGTAATTGTACCACATTGTCTTTATGCATTATTTGGTTAAAGGGCACCAAGACTGTTTCCAGGTTCTGGCTGTAACAAATAATGCTGCTATGAACATAGTTGAACAGATATCCTTGGAGTATGATTGAGCATCCTTGGGGTATATGCCCAAGAGTGGTATTGCTAGGCCCTGGTAGGTTGATTCCCAATTTTCTGAGAAACCACCACACTGGTTTCCAAGAGTGATCATATAAGTTTGCATTCCCACCAGCAATGGAGGAGTGTTCCCCTTACGCCACATTTTCTCCAGCATAAGCTCATTGGTGTTTGTGATCTTGACTATTCTGACTGGTGTAAGATAGTATCTCAGAGTAGTTTTGATTTGCATTTCCCTCATGGTTAAGGATGGTGAACATTTCCTTAATTGTCTTTTGGTGATTTGAGATTCTTCTGCTGAATATTCTCTGTTTAGTTCTGTACTCCCATTTTTAAATTGAATTATTTGGATTTTTGATGTGTAATTTCTTGATTCTTTATATATTTTGGAGATTAGCCCTCTTTCTGATGTGGTGTTGGTGAAGATCTTTTCCCATTCTGTAGGCTGTTGTTTTGTCTTGTTGACTTTATCCTTTGCTTTACAAATGTTTTTCAGTTTCAGGAGGTCCCATTTATTAATTTTTTTCTCTCAGTGTCTATGCTGCTGGGGTTATATTTAGGAAGTAGTTCCCTGTGCCAATGCGTTCAAGTGTACTTCCCACTTTCTCTTCTATCAGGTTCAGTGTGTTGGATTTATACTGAAGTCTTTAATCCATTTGGATTTTTTTTGTGCATGGAGATAGATATGGATCTATTTTCATTTTTCTACATGTTGACATCCAGTTAGGCCAGCACCATAGGTTGAAGATGCTTTCTTTTTAACACTGTATAATTTTAGCTTCTTTGTCAAAAATCAGGTGTTCATAAGTGTGT